ATTTGGCACATACTTCAGTGGAACACTCCCAATTTTCTGTTATCAGTTTCCACCACAAAGACAGGTGAGATTTAATGCTCTAGAAGTCCTCTCCTGCCAAAAATGCTGCAAGGCTATTTCAGTTTTAACCTGTAACTTTCAAAGATACTGTCCCTCGCAGCATCCTTGTGGACAAGTTGTCCAGTTGAGGGATGTGTGGATTTCTGTTGCACTGGGTGAAGAACTGGCTGAAAGGCAGAACTCAGAGGGCTGTAGCAAATGGGGCTACATCTGGCTGGCAACTGCTCACCAGCACTGTTCTTCAGGGTTCAATTTTAGGGCCAGTTCTATTCAATATATTTATCAATATCTGGATGCAGGAGTTGAATACACCATTAACAAGTTTGATGGTAACACCAAACTGGGAGATGCTGTTGACTATCTTGAGGAACAGGAGGCCTTGCAGAAAGATCTAGATAGATTGGAGCATCAGGCAATGATTAATGGGATGAAATCTAACAAGTCCAAATGCTGAATCCTGCACTTAGGCTGGAGTAACACCAGGCATAAGTATAAATTGGGAGAGGAGTGGCTGGAGAGCAGCCCTGCAGAAAGAGATCTGGGGGTGCTAGTCAGCAGCAAGCTCAACAGGAGTAAGGAGTGTGCCCTCCCAGCCAAATGGGCAAACCACAACCTGGGGTGCATCAAACACAGCACAACCAGCTGGTCAGACGAAGCGATTATCTCTCTGTACTCAGCACTGGTGCAAGCTCACCTTGAGCACTGTGTGTCATTCTGGGCCCCACAATTTAAGAAGGAAGTGAAGATCCTTGACTGTGTCCAGAGGAGGTGGATGGTGAGATGGCTGGAAGGCATGTCCTGTTAGCTGTGGCTGAGGACTTTGGGCGTGTCTAGTTTGGAGAAAAGGAGGCTGAGGGGCAACCTCATTGCTCTCTACAGCTTCCTGAGAAGGTGAAGTGGAGAGGTGCTGATCTCTTCTCCCTGGAATCCAGTGACATGTAGGACATGTGGGAATGGTTCAAAGCTGCACTAGGGTAGGTTTAGACTGGATATTAGGAAGCATTTGTTGACCACAAGAGGGTGATCAATCACTGGAACTGCCTTCCTAGTGAGGTCACTGATGCCCAAGCTCGTCAGTGCTTAAAAGGCATCTGCACAATGCCCTTAACACCATGTTTAACTTCTGGTCAGCCTGGAAGTGGTCAGGCAGTAGGACTAGATGATTGCTGTAGGTCCTTCCCAACAGAAATATTCCATTCAATTCCATTTCATTCCATTCCATTCCAGACTATTCCATTCTGTTGTGGTTCTGGTTCTAGTCCTAGTCCTAGTTCTAGTTCTAGTCCTAGTCCTAGTCCTAGTTCTAGTTCTAGTTCTAGTCCTAGTTCTAGTTCTAGTTCTATTCTACTCCTGTTCTGTCCTGTAGTTCTATTCTGCTGTTATGTTCTGTTCTGTTCTGGAAATAAGCTTCACAACACCCATGGGAACCCAGTAAACAATTGACTAACTAGGTATTGCAATAAAGCATCCAGCTTTTTACAGGGTTATAAAGTTTCTAAATAAACATTATACTGCAACATCATAGAAGGGAAATAAAGAATGATATTGAGCTAAATATTTGCATGAATAATTGGCCTATACTTTAGTCTATATTTTTTAACTTACATAAAATGCATGAGTTCATAAACAAACCTATCTATTCAGAACTTCAGTAGCTGAGTTTATACAGAATTTGGAAAGAGAAGAAAATATACTAAAAGACCAATGTGTCGTGACATGGGATCATCTATGAGTGTATTCCACTAATTTTCTCCTGCAGTTCCTCATCCAGGTATTGACTTGACACAAATGTACTCAGGCAGAATTAGAACATAAAAGAGCTTTATTATATTAAGTAAATTGCAGTACTGAAATGGGTCCCAAAAGACGTATATTTTAACTAAATATTTTTTGAGTTGGCAGCATCCATTAGTGTCTCTCTGTTTTTCCCACACTTTACAAATTGAAAACGATAGGTGATAGGTATACCATTGCACAAAGACATAAATAACAACCATAAACCAGACAAAGCTTTGAAGATGCACTGGCAACAGTACGATACTTCAATTTGAAACCATCATTCTAAAATGGAAATGTTTGATGTATTTCTTGACGATGTTTGGTTCTATAATGTTTTGATGAGTGTATATTTGGGTTGTGATCAGGTTAAAAATATATGAAGAAATACATAGTACAGACTTACTTACAGATAAATAAAAAGTTCATTATGACACTAATATTGTTACTGTCTCCAGCCTCAGATTATTTTTTTTTTCTTTTCTAACACAATTTATAGTAATATACTTCATTCTATTTACATTCTTATTAATACAGTCTGACACCCTGTAACTTACATTCATCCTCAGACCCACCCTATGAAGTATTGCTACTCTCCTCATTCTGTTCCAGATAAAGAAAGATTAAATGACTCTCAGGCTTCTTTCTCAGCCATCTTCCTCTTCAACCTCCCCTTAAGCCCAGTTCCATTGCCTGATATTTGTCTTCTTTGGCACATTCATTACTTCCCTCCCAATAACATTAAAAAATATATATATATATAAACTGATTGACAACATCTTTTTTAAATGACAGAAATCTATCACAATGACTCTTTCACTTACATTAAAAGTTGAATATTAGAGACAAGTCTTGTAAATAATGATGATGGGAAAAAAATATAAGATGCAATGTCCGTAAAGGTGTTTATCTTCTCATAAGTGTTTTAAGGATCACAGTCTAAATGGCATTATTTTTACAGCTGTGCTGTCTGAAGCAGAACAAGTGCCATGGAAAATTTCCTACAATAATAAGTTATGAAACTTGTGCCATTATATTTTCTTCATGCATTTATACTTTCATCTTGCTGATGTTGGATTAACTTCAGCTGATTAACATCAACTTTACTGCTATCTTATTTAGAATTATTGTTTTACACATTGTAAATTTTTATATTTTTGAGATTACATTATAGGTTTTTACTGGCAGCTCTTGAAAGAAGTAATTTATAAGGTTAGAAAGGTATGACTATTTCCTTAGCATGCCTCCCTCATATGCATAGTCATAATACGAGAAATCGACAGCCCTTAACCCCCCCATCTTATACACTTGAAAAACAGTGGGTGCAGAAGTTACATCAAGAGTGTTTCTAGTGGAGGCCGAATGGCAAAAGATCAAAGCTGGCATTAGGGAGGAAAATGTGTTGGTAAGCATGTCATCCTGGTGTAGAGGCTAGGTAGACAAGTGCTGCTGAGACCAACTGTGTTCATATGCTGGCATGTGAAAAATACCTTATTTGAAATAGTTTAAAAAAAGATCACCAAACCCAACCTCATCTACTGATTGCAAGGAGGGTACTCAGCATTTAATGAGGGTGAATTATTCTTTTTCATTCTCTTTTCAGGATGGGACAGCTGAGAAGATGTAACAGTTCACTGGTGCCTCTGTAAGCCAATTTATCGCAGTAACCCTGCAGTATCCCATCCCTTTTAGCTAGGGTTTGTTTTGTTTTTCCAAATTAGGAAGCTGAATTGACTCACTGAGTCAGATAAGCACCTAAACTATCAGAAAGATAGTGGAAAAATCTTGCAGCCCAGACTGGGGACTTGGGAGTGGTGATAGAACTGCCTGTTAGACACTCAGATGTGCATCTTCTACGCTTAACACCTGACCATAGTTAGTAGGCATACATGCTGTTCTTGAGGCTAACACTTTTTTTTCAGTAATTTTAAGACTGACAATCCAATCAGATTTCTAAATGTTACATTAACGCCTCCCCCCCGCCTCAGTAAACAACAACAAAAAACCCCAGCGGCACAGGCAAGGGGCAAGAGAAGAGGTTTGTAAGAATGCAGATTATTCAGATGATAAAAACAGAATTGCTGACATTCTTATATAGATAACACAACAGTACAAATATGATATTGTAAATAGAAAGCCAGTCATTGTTTTTTTAATTAATTTTTTATGCTGTAACTGTACAATCACTACCAAAACACTCCAATACTGCCCCCTCCTTTGCAAAACAGCTGCAAAACAAAATTGCAATCTGTATTACACTGATCCATCAAAAAAGCAAAGAACACAAGAAGTGAATATACAGACAACAATTTCCCTGAAAAGAATCTCAGCTGAAGTACTAGCATTGGTGTAAATTAATTCTTGTCCCAAACACATAAGATCATTGTCCACTTTGCGGTAATATTTGAATAAAATCCAGTCTGCTTTGACGACAATAAAACCAATAACTAACTCAAACCCACACCTATGCCAGTGAATAATGATCCCATATTTCAGGTCCTTTTCCCAGTGTTATAATTTGAAGGGAAAATGGACAGACGCTGAAAGCGTGTACATGACTGCCTACTGAAACCGACTGGACTTCTGCTCATGCTGACAATGGGGCAGAACTGGTACTGTATAAGCTGCCACAGAACATTTTCACTTCCAGTCCATGCCCTTTCAAAGGTAAATGGAAAGTCTTAGTTTCCTTCTCATGCCTTTCTCTTACTAACATGGTACTTGGCTTCAGCAGCTGGTTTCTTAGCATAAAAATGAATGTATCACTTAATATTCTGAATCATCATTTTTGTGTCTAGAGACCTCCATAAATGGAATAAATTCCAAAACCAAACACCATGATCTTATTAGTTGAAGTATAAAATCAACAGATTTTTCAGCATCTCATACACTGCTCACAGCTTCTGTGCAGTTTATGGTACTGAGCAATCCAAAAAGACACCAACAACAACCATTATACAGCACATGCTGAAAATCCCTGACCATGAAAACACATGAATATGAAAATCTCCTTTGTCTTTGTACACAGCTAATACCATCATTACAGATGAATCCATGGAATGCAATTACTCCATACTTCTTTTGTTCATTACCATTTTTAAATAAAGTTATAAAAAGTTTAAACTTTTTAAATAAGTTTAAAGATTTTGGTGAAAGGCCCTTACCCTTGCCTTCTGCTCCATTTCCATCATTAATCTTTCATGTTGCTCTGCTATTGCCAGTGTTGCAGAATGGACTTTCTGATATATCATTTCTCCTTCTCGTGTCTGAAAGGTGAACAGCCCCTCTCCTGTGTCACACATCCTGCAGTGAGATTTAAGCAGAATGGAAAGAAAAAAATAAGTACTATGTAATTTTTATCTAACTATTATAAAAAGTGCACACCTTGCAGTAGAAAATTCCAACTTTCATAGTTATACCCTGGAATTCTGAGCATCTGCAGTTATTTTTACCATTGAAGAGAGACATATTACAACAGATATGCTGAACACGAACATAACCTTTAAATTCAGATTTAATCATCATCTGGGTAGTGAAAAAGAAGTTTTAGCATAGAATAAAAACTTGAATACAGTCAGCTATTTCCAGCATTGTTCAAAATGTCTACACATGTAAGAGGGAGCTCAATTTGATTCTCTTAACCTATTCAAGCCAGAAAGACAGCATTAAGAGGGTTAAATTATAACTGTCTCAGTGCATTTATGTGAGGCAGTGTCTAAAGCTATCTTGATAATTACAAAAGCCGTTCAGTGAACTTGACAATAGGAAGAGTATTTTGATAGTGTAAGAAGATTAAATAGTGAAAAAAAATCCAGAAAAAAAATTTACTTTCTTCTTTTGAGAGAGCAACTGCTGTTACCCTTATCTGTGATATCACTGTGGCACTATTCTAAGGAAGAAGAGTGGTACATGGTAATGCAATGTCAAAGCGGGCTGAGAAATATACCAAATGGGAAGGGACAACAATGTTAGGTTATTGAGTGACCTTCACCCAGAAATCCTGAGGCAAATTGCTGAGCATTTTAGCAAAATGTGTCCTGAGTAGCCTAACATTCTAACAGGTTTTTAAATACCAATATCTTTAAAGTTTGCCGCCCAGATTCTGTATGGTTTTTCATATACTGATTTTTAAAAATCTTTTCCCATCAAATGAACATACAGATCTATGTTATTTTGATTGAAATATGATTTGATTTGAATTTGTCTCCTGCTATATTACATGCACACACTATTGTATTACTGCTTCTTGAAAATGGAATAGTTTTTCATGAGACATCTTTTTGTCAAATTAGAATACAGCTTCCCACAAAATTTTATTTCAAAACTCAGCTGAACAGGACTATTGTGCTATAGAAGAGAGTACTGAGAGTTCAGCAGTTGCTTTTGATTTCAAGGCTGAGAACTGAAAATAAAACCTTATTAGCACAAAATCTTGCTTGTCGCTGGAGGAGACATGCTTTTGTGAGAGTCCTATAGAGAACTTATTCATAGCTGTGTTTGGGAAGAACAGAAGGTACTGGAGGCAGAAACAGATAAAATAGAGGTGTTCCTGGAAACTACCTGGTGAAAATACTTAGTAATGATCAGTTGAGGTGTCTAAAAGAAAGTCATAGTCTTAAGAATAGACAATTCACAATATTATCCATACGGAGATTATCCATAATTCTGGAATGAAAATAGTCTTCTCCATCCCAAGATATAAAGAAAATACAATCTATTTTGGATACAGGAATTATTTGATCAATATTTATGTGATGTGCTGATTAATAGGTTAAAAAAAACCCACAACTTTTTTATTAAAGTCCAACAGAGATTGATATCCCTGCTGTGAACATTTAAGATACTTTATATCCTTCGCCACAGTCCTCCAAAGAGCTTCTGGTAGAAATAAAATGTCTCCAGAGTTTTGCGACATTATGGCAACAGCTTTTCAGATCCCTCAGGGCATCATATAGCTGGTACTCTGCTTTTGTGTAAAGACATCTTAATAAAATTCAAACAGCGTGAAATGGAAAGTCTGGAAAAAATTAGGAGGCTTCAGAAACTGAAGCAAAATATGATCTTTTTGTTGGTTTCAGAGGATGAAAAATCCTACAGGGATAAAACCAAGGAAAAAGGGAATGGGGCATAATTAAGATTCAGGAGTTAAGTTGCTTGTTTTGACAGAGCAAAACCTATTTGCCACCCTTGCTGATCAGAATAGGGTCTGTACCACCTGCATGAGCCATGGGTGGAGGCAGCGGTGCAGGCTGTGGCAGTGCCCTAGCACCTCACCCACTGCACAGGACAGCACTGCAGGGCCCTGCTTCCCCACAGCAATGGGTGACTGTGGCAGACATGTCACAGCAATGCTGGAAAGCCATAGATGACAGCCTCTCTGCATCTGCATTGTGGGCTTCCCTGGCTAATGACGGATGATATGCATGCAGCCACTCCCTCTCCTTTTCCTTCTTTCTCCTTCTTTGTCTTTCTCACCTTGCCTCCTCTCCTTCGCTTTTTCCTTTCCCTTTTTCCCTTTCCCTTTTTCCCCTTTCCCCTTTCTCCTTCCCCCTTGCCTTGCCTTGCCTTCCCCTCACTTCTCTTCCCTTCCCTTCTTTTCCCTTTCCTCTTCCTCTCCCTCTCTCTTTCTCTTCTTTCCCTTTCCCTTTCCTTCTCCTTTCTGTTCTAGTCTGTTCTTTTTTTCTGTTCTGTTCTTTTTTTCTGTTCTATTCTTTTCTATTTTCTGTTCAATTCTATTCTAGTTATGACACCAAGATCAGCTGCATGTATTAGGGTTAATTTCAGTCTTTCTAGAACAAGGAAACACGAACTAAAATAGAAGCACTCTAAAGCATGATGGAGGTGGGACAGGCAAAGGGGTAAGTGTGCTCTTGTAAGCTTAAGAGTTTTGCCAAAAAACCAAAGGCCCTTTACTTATCTGGCTACAGGAATGGACAAGCCCATAAGTTGAAGCACACTTCCTGGCTTGTTCTATTTACACTCAAAACATAGCCAGGAAAACAAAGAAACTCTTTTCTTTACAGCCTTCTCTGCTGCCAGATAACTGTCCATTAAAAGCTACAGTTTCAGGTTTAGCCTTGCTAATGCATTGCTTTATTACGAGTGAAAATGAAATAACTGAGGGTAAATTAAAGTTTTTTCTATGTTAAATGCAGATATGATTGTTCAGCTGCTAATTTATTAACATCTTCATAACTTCTGCATGTCCTATAGTCACTTTAGAGAAAAGACAGGACACAGATCTGGGCCTCTTCTTTCCCTGATACTGCCACAGTTATGCACTGCAGTTCTACCAACTCAGTATGACCTTCACTGTCAAAAAACTTCACTGACTTTGTATACTTTAATTTTTTTATGACACACTTAACTGTCTGTGGATGCTTGAAAAGTGCTGATATTAGCTTGTCTATTTCTGTGTTTTCCAACTTTAAAACAGGGATGTTATTAACCTATGCTTTAGGATATTTAAGGATTCAATACATTAAAACATAGGAAGTGCTTTACAGAAATAGGAAAGTGCATTTTTTTCTGTGTTAGTACAGATTGATAAAACTGAGCAAATCACAAAATCAGTAGATAAACCAGTAAGAAGTTTTACTTCTTAAAACACTTCCTCAGCTTTTCACAATCATCATTGTTAGCAGATCTGGCTCAAAAGCCAGAGGAAGGAATAGGAAGGTGAGAGCTAAGCTTGTGGCCCAGAAACTGGAGAAAGGGATCAACAGTGAAAGTTCTTGCTTTTACTCAGAGGTAGAGCTTCTGTTCAAGCCAAAGAGATTTTCCCACCAGTACTGCCAGACTTTTTTTCGGCATTTCCCAAATTCCCATAAGGCTTCCCACTGCTCACTACAGCAACTTCATCTTTTAGAACAGAATCAAGACTATATATTAACTATATATTAACCTCGTAGAATTCCCTTCAAAAATGAAACTTTTGACTTGACCACCATTTATGAACTGTACCTTTTGCCAGTCAGAGATTCATGCTCTCCTGTCATGGTTGAAATATTTTAAAAGTTTAATGGTGCAATATTCAGCAGCTGCATGAGAGGACAAGAATTTGACATCTCAGCTTCATTTCACTATTTCAGTTAAGGGTAAAACGCATTTTCACAATAATGAAGGTTGTCTGAAAACTGAGATGCTCAGGAACATTATTTTCTATAAGATCTTGTTTTAAAATAAAGGATAAATGATCACTGTAACTAGAAAATTTTTAGTTTTTCATATATCTAAATCTAAAATTTAATGGATTTGAATGGCTTCTTTTTACCCACAAATAATTTAGCATTAAAGAACTAATGGCTGTCATATACTGAAAAGTATGTAAAATTACATACAAATAACTAAAAAGGTAAAGATCCTCAAGTAGGCATTGAAAAAAACACCATAAAAATGTCTATTATTAGTATGTATGGCTGTTAATAACTAATACATAATAAATAGCTACCATCCTAGTTTAACATTTATAGTTCTTTAAATAAAAAGGAATTTTAATTTTTTAAAATGAGAATAGATCATGAATAGGCATTGTCCTGTAATCAGAGTGATAAAATTTATCAGTACCAAACCGGCTGTAATTGCTGTTGCATAGTCCGTGCTTGATATGTGAAAAATTATTTCCCTTAAACAGTGAAGCTGTTTACCCAGACACTTCAAGGCCTACCTGTCGGTAGTGCTTATTTGCTGAAGAAGGTGGTCAGCATATGGGACCTGTGGAAGAAACCTAATTGGTATGAAATTTTTAACTCTGAACTGAGGCACTTATTTCTTGTGTTGCTACAGTTTAGATTTTCTAAAATATGGTAGAAACTAGCGATTTTGACTCCAATTTAATTAGATTATCAGTGGAGACACACAAACACTATCTCTCTTGTGGATATCTAACTTTTATTCTTTCCTTGTTTGTTGTTATCTCAACTTGAGCTAAGCCATTTTGACAGAAATACTGTTTGTTCTTCGTGTGCAAGGATATTACAGACAGCATACACTAAAGACAGGCTAGGTAACCAGTAGACCTCACTATAAAATGAATGCAAAGCTACCCTGAGGGTCTAAATTCTTTGCTCATTTCAGACTTAAACACATGCTAGCTTGCTTCCTCCCATACTTGTTCTTTTCTGAGAAAATGAAAAAAGCAAGGAAAGCAAATAAACTCTTTGTGGCAGGGGCATGTTTACATGAAAAGCTCCTTTTATATCTAGGGATACTTATCAAAACAACTGAAAAAGCAACTATGTATGTTTTTATAAAATTGTAAGTCAGCTTCTATGTTGAAAGGGCAGAAAAGCAAAGGAAGAAAT